TATATATACAAGCTAGTGGATGACGATGGTGGTGAAGAGATCAAAGGTACGCAATCTGGTCCACGGGGCGCGGGGTTCGAACCTAAACCCCCGTCACCAGTTAATTTTAATATTAGAATGCTGCTCTTATCACCAGGCTGCTCAATATCGTGTTTACTACACTCAAAGGTCCTTAGATGGATAGATAGATAGCATACATTCCGGGCATCCAAGAAAAGCATCAATACACGGAGATATTGTACTTCCTACCTTCGTATCGTCAGCACAAAGGTCTTAGGGATCTCGCCTGTCGGGCGATCAGCAGGCTTAACTACCGACCGACAACCCGATGGGTTAGTGCACATTTCGAATGGCACAAAACGCGCACACGAGTGTCACAGAAGTGTACACAAGTGTGGAAATCAATAGATTGATCGTACTCAATCACTATTGACAAAGTACAAAACAAACCGGACCAAAATGATACGATTAGATAAGAGAGACCTATGTATGCAAGCAAAGTGTATGACGAGGGCTGAGTGAGTAGTCTATTGCCAACTATGTAGATAGGTACGTGATCATGATGAATGTAACGAGAATGTTGAGATGTTGAGGTGTTTGGCTTCTGACAAAAATGCCGGGAACAGTGGATGCACACAATGAATGTCACGTGCGTTGATCAGCAGAGACACGCACACACACACACACACACACACACGGTAATTGCACGATACAAATCAATTGAATACAACGTTTCAGAGAGGTGGAAAACGGTCCGACTTGATTCACAAGTTAGGTCTTTCCAATCACATTGCTTCCAGTATACCATGAGTTTGGTTGAGCAGATATATACCAAGTAAATAAATGCTCCTTGGAACTCCATAACCAATTCGAATCGAGTCACGTGACCGCGGTGTGAAATACTTATCCTCCACATTATCATGCACTCTGATACAATAGAACAACTAGACTGAGAAGGTATATCTAAAGTAAGCAGATTGACCGTTTAAACTTGAATGAGATGCGGTTGAAATTAGTCAAGGAACACGAGGAGAATAAAATGGGTCATTTTCAAAATATTGAGTCGGTATAAAGCAAACCCAATTCGCACGATGAATGTATGGTGGCAAAATGGTGTAGATCAGACACGGATAGGTAACAACTAAAAAAAGGTACAGGTTTTTGGTTGTCTCACAGACTGGGAAATTTTACGGCAAGAAATATCTGCTGCCACCAATCTGGACTAGGGATCAGGAAGTTATTATCCCGACTAATCTCGAGAACGGTAACTGATGTAAAAGTTTGGGACAGACCATGATGACCACCGTTTATAATGATCAACCTAGCAAGGAAAACAATATCCACTTCCATTTTTGGGTGTTTCAATTGTGCATCGATCCGTTACTTGAAATTAACAACAACAGTGTGAACACAGCGAATGAAGCGGTAGAATGCTGCGCTTTGTCGAGCCATACGGTAATGGTTTTAGCTAACTTTTTCTCTATCCTTGTGCATGAACATTCCACAAACACGCCAATGAGTTCCAGATAGATATTAATTGACTGGAATTGTAATTTACTGATTTATCATAGCCTAGTAATTTGCCACTGATACGTGTTGACTGATACACTCCCCCCACACACACCCAATTGCATGTACGCATTGTACACGTGACCCAAATTAAATTGGTGCTCGATGCCTCTTATTTATTCGAATTGATTTATTTATTCTCGGTCATTGTGGAGAGCGGTTTTTTTTTAAAAAAAAATACCGGCTCGGAAGACGAATCATGGTCAACACTAGTGAACGCATTCCCTGAAACGGGAGGGAATGCAAACGAAGGTAGAATGATTCTGTGCAGAACGGAACGATTGAGAACTGACGGGGTAGGTACAAGAGCGTGGGGAACTAAATAGACTTTATACAAGTACACACACGCCCAGCAGAACGGCTATCCAATCAAATCCGGCTCACCTGTTTCAATTCGACTTCGCGACTGATCAGCTCCGACTGGGAACGACTCAGGCGATCCAACGCACCGGTCGCCTCTCGTTGTGAGGCCAAATAGCGTTGTTCTAATGTGGTGATTCGTGCCTCCTGATCCTCCCGTTGTGCTTCCAACTCGCGCAACTCCCGTTGCAAACGCAGCGTCTGAGTCGGGGTAAACACAATCGGGAAAGGGGTAATCAGGTACCGCGGGGTGAGGGGCGGGGGTAGGGAAGGGCGAGACGGACAGAGCAATTTCATTTTTTAGGGAATAGTAACCGAGGAGGATCCATCCACTAGTTCACATATGGTTGAAAATGACCGTGATTTAACACGGAAAAAATCGAGACGAAACAGATGAGATTGCTGATAGTATGTCCATTGTTTGTGTTTTTTTCTACTAGCAACAAGAACTGTACTCCAAACCATTCTCAGAAGATTAGGAAACAATTGTGGCGACAAAATCCCGGCAGAACTAATGCTCATATCGATTTTCGGACGGGAAAATCAGGTATCTGTTATTCACACACCGCACTACCATCATGTTTGGCGTTTTCATGATTGGAATTTTGAGAGCATCCAGGTTCACCACAAGATCAATGAGAAGTAAACTCAAATTGACAGTCAGATAGCACTTGAGAAATCCACACCGAAAAGGTGATTGAAAATCGAAAGAACTCGGGGGGAGAACAGCACTGTACGCGATAGCTCCGGATTATGAAAATCACACACGGGGAGTTCAGCATGTACAACACACGAATGCTTGTGATCACAACCCAAGAAAGTAGGCCCTGATAGACAAAAATAATTCGAGAATTTTATCATCAGTTTCAGTTTTTGTAACCATTAACCATGCAATTTTGTGCGCCGGTTTTTGGTTGCTGTCTTTTCACCTCCCATATGGATAAAAGAGCGGAATGAAAACTGAACTACTGAGAGGAAATTCAAGGGGAAGATTGAGAATTCATATAGAATGCGGTTGCAAGAATATTGAGTGAGTGGATGCACGAACGACAATCAGCCATATCACTCAGTGTCTCTAACCGCCGGTTACCATAATCTCGGGGTCGCCCTCCAGGGAGCCCAACGGGACCTGTGGTCCAGTGTCTTGGTTAGGGTTTGTATACCCGTATGCAAGGTCCTAGTTTGGCCGCCCTTGATTTATTTATAACCGCGACCTGCCTCGGCAAACATCGCTCGCCGTCGCAACCTATCTGGTGACATGCGTAGCACATGTCCCAACCAACGTAATCTATGGAGGTCAACTACTTGCTCCAGTGGACGACCGCGATTACCTAAAACTCTACGCCTAACCTCAGCATTGCTTGTCCGATTTCCCCACCCGACTCATGCAATGCTGCGTAGACTGTCGGTGTTCGAACACCGGCAGTCTATCTCTATCCTGTTCCCGTAATGACCAAGTCTCTGCNACTGGTTGAACCGTTACAGCATATAGTCGACCCTTCACGAGTAGCCGGATATTGCAACGGAGCCACAGATATCTCAAGTTGGTAAATGCCAACCGAATCTTCTGTATGCGAGCCGACATCTCAACCGTGATGCGTCCGCCAGGTGACACAGTTCCCCAGATAGAAAAATTTATCTACTTCCTCTATTACTACCCCAGTTAGTGTGAGGACCAACCCAATCTTGTGGCAACATTTTACACTTTGGAGGTGTAAAATGCACACAAATCATACACACACTGAAACTCAAACTATCCGGTAAAACGTGCAACTTACCTGGAGAATTTCATCGCCGCTCAATATGTGTTTTACTCCGAAGGTACTACAATCATTATTCACTAAGGTGGTAAGCGGGCCAACAGAAGATTTTCAAACAACAAACGGTGAGGCGACGAAGGAGGGATGTGTGCAAACTGGGGAACTAGACTGACAGGCAGACAGCGTTGACCGTTTGACCAGCTTCGCAGCCAGAAAGAGAATGCAATACCCAAACTAGAGGGAAAAAGTGTGTGTTCTTTTGCGTGCACTAATTAGGAATCAGAATGTGACATAATCGGTTTAGATTGGACTCTGCCTCGGTGTATCAACCACGTGCTAGATTGGTTTCCAGTTGGAATCGATAATATGTTCCTTGCGCTCGGGACGCAGCATGACTTCTAGCTTCTTAAACCGTAAATCCCGGAGTACTATAGTGAAAACCACTGCTATTCATTAACTCAACCACTCTGAGGAACGCGCTACGCGCATTTAGTCCTGGTCACCACTACGTTCGTCCCTTCATAGTAGGTGAAACACAAAGACCGGTTGGCCTCGGCGTTCCGCAGTATTATTCACCGCGTTCGAGAAGCAGTTGAAGATGATAAACATCGAATAAAAGCTGAAAATCAATGAAGAGACGAAGATCAGCCGGTGTGGGTCACCATGATTTATCTCGCCGCTCTCTTTCACACACACACACACACCAGAGAGAGAGAGAGAGAGAGAGAGAGCGAGACAAAGAGATTGTGTTCAAATCCTAACACCCTAATAGGACTGAAACAACAAAGCACAACACAGATTTGTTTGTTCGTTTGGTACTTAGGCAAATGATCAGCTGACAGACCAACAGCAACGGTTTCGCTCTGCCTATCGGTTGTGCAAATTACAAGCGCGTTTCCGTTCAACTCGAAATTTCATGAAAGCCGGATCCGAACCAGACAACACAACTAAAGTCCCAAGTGTTCGTGGGACCAATGGACAGAGCGTGGCACACATTCAGTACAACCGCGAGTACTTTGTTTGTACCGTTGATGATCCGTCTGTGCTTGAGAATTACATCATCGAACTAATAGCCGAACCCTTTGCTGTTGTTTCTAAACTGAATTACCGTTACACATCAGGGGTTTGTTCACTCCGGCGAACAGATCCGGTACAGAGTTGCATCACAAAGCGGCAGGTCGGGTTCTGATCCTTCCGCTGGGGTTTTGTCGGTCGCGGCCATCTACCGATTAGCTCAATCCATCACTCATGATTTATCAAGCCGTTTAGATGTTCGGTTAAAACACGCTGTCTGTCCAGCCAGAGATTCTCTGACAGTACGCGGTTTTATCCGGGATTACGTGCGATCAGTGCGTGCGTGTGTGTGTGCGCGCGCGCGCCCAATTTCCAATCATACACAAATCCGCCAAGATAACCGTATAAACGAGGTGGATCAAGCGGGGCTGGGGGAGCGGGCGGAGTGCGAGAACATAAACAAACTACCAGACCGCACTTATGTAAGCTAGGCACATGGATAATTGGGACTTCAATAGCTATTTGTTTCTCCCTTTGGCTGTGTGCGTGTGTGTGTGTGAGGGCGGGGTGGTGATCATCGTCGCACTCTGTTCGTTGCTGCAACACAAGCCAAAGAAGAAACGGGGAGTAAAGAAAAACTTCCAAAGACATTCTGCCGTGCCGTGCCGTAACTGGAACGGAACCCAATTAACATCTGTTTGCGAGTGACAGTTTTTCTGTCTATCCGGTTCGCTCCCGATTGCTTGCAACAAGGATGCTTTTTCATTCTTCCTCAAACCATCACCCCCCCCCCNCTACCTCTTAATCTGTTTGTTTGTATTTGACTATTTTTATTTCACTTGGACACATGAAAAGTATTAATCCGTACCATCATTGTGATGAACCTTGACGGACCATGTATCATGTGATGAAAACTGGTCCATTTTCACCCTCAGTGCAGATGACTATCAGCCCTCTCAGTTTACTACTTATCCATCCGATAACCTGCGACACTAGCATATATTATATTATATTTGCACTTGTTTGAGGACAGACTGTGTGCCAGGCAAATCATGGTACAATAATCTTTATAGAAAAAAAACGTTCCACTATTTGCATGTGGGCCGAATACTGCGAGTTTGGCCAGGCCAAGGCCGGTGAAGTTTCTTGAGGAATCCACAACCGGAGCCTTCGGCTAACCAAAGCCTGACCAGCAAGGCAGAGGAGCGGCGTGTGAAAACCGCAATCCATTGGGAGCCGTATTGTTCACCCTTCGGACGGGGTCAAACGTCCAAGGTGACCAATACACCTCGATGCCGAATTGAACCGGTGACCGTTACCACAACCGGAAAGGTGTGGGTGTAGTTCGTACGCCTCCTCCTGGTTGGTTTGGAATCAGGGTTTTTGGCCAACTCCCGTAGGTGAACTACCATTGGTCCACCAATGCGGTTATAGCCCCGGATGTCGGCTTTTTGTCCTCTCACTTTAATGGGGAAACATCGCCACGGGAAGACAGTGAGTAGGGCTTCCTCAGCAGAAGCTATTTGAGACGCTTAGTCGATACTAGTAGGCACTTGCCTTGCTCGAATCAGAGCAATTCCATTCACTTCTATTCCGTTTGGCCTCTGATAGGACGTGTTAGTGAGGGTCACAGCTCGCGGATTGACGGGTAGAAGAGAGAGAAAAATAAGCTAGCTAACTGTACGCTCCCCATCGCTGCCTTGTTCAGCGTCACATTCCGCTGATCAAACGTGATTCACGTTTCGACCTTGAAGTCGGATCGATAAAGATTGCTTTCACTGGTCTGTCATCTGTTAGAATTCAGCCAATTCTTCTCCGTCTAACATAAGGAATTCCTTGTAGAAACAAGCCGAAGAAGAAATGCACTATTAACTTGACGTCCTCAAAAATGAGCAAAAAGCTCTGTCACAGTCGTGAATGATTCATTGGTTTTTCCGGTACTAACTAGATTCAGTTGTCATATGATGACCCCTTCAAATGAGATGGAATACACGGTGTTATACGGCGTTGTCATCCGAGAAAAAAAACATGTTAACTGTCTCATGTTTTCATCCGTTTCGCGTTTTCTATACTCCCTGATACATGTGGATCAATAGGAAGAGCAAACAGAGCGATTTCAGAGAATTTGGATTGAAATAGCAGCAAGTGTTAACAACAACCTTCATACACGTTGGTTGCAATTGGAAGGCGGAATCTCTTGTTTCTTCATATCGATTTTCTAATACACGTTCCGTGCAAAATATGTTCCATGCTGACTGATTCACCAACTGGCAGATTGTGCAACCTGGAGCAGCTAATCTTTATCTAGACAAACCTCAATCCGGCTTCCTGTTGGGTTGAAAGAAAAGCGCACAGTGCATCAATACCATTCTCGGAACTCTGTTGATTTCATTTGAAGTCATGCTCTGTCGGAAACGCCCATTCCGACTATTGGGTTGGAGAACAGGAACCCTCCGCGGGTTGAGAACTAATCGAATTTCAGAGGACACCAAGCAGATAGGTAGGCATCATCAAAGAGCTCGAGGAAAGTACGTAAACAATAATTCATTTGGTTTACTTCATCTGACTGAGAATTCTTTCAATCTGACCAGCATCCGATAATGAGAGGTTCACGTGATTCAGTGGAGCCACCAGGATGCGGTGACTGCAGTCAAAAGAATCCAGCCACAATGGTAGACAGGTTCGCGGCGCTCCATACTATTTCTTCAGGACAACTGTGATTGTGCTTTGTGATGTTCATCACACCATGTTGTATGACGGGAATGATTGGATCCCATCATTAGCGTCAAAGATATCATCTGGACTGGTGGTACATGCGGTGGAGCGGATTAGTTACGATGTGATCATGTTGTCAGTCACAATTCATCTAAATAGCATATAATTAACATTACTGAAANTAGAGCTTAAAAAATAAACTAATCACTGACTGCAGTTGACTGGTCGATTGATGAGATAATTTCACATAAAACGTAAGCAACAAAACATGACCAGCATAAACGAGGATCAGAAGTGCGTGTGACGAATATTAAAAAAAGTACCGCGTGCGATTCAATAATTCTTTACTTTATCACAGACGTAATCCACCAAAGTCAAGGTCAATTTATGATGTTTGTTTTTTAAGAACAGTAAAAGTATATACGATTCATGTAGATCGATTGGAAATTTAAAAAAATAGTAATTTGAAATGAACCTGCATCTTGATTCTTACTCGGTCAGCGTTAATTAGCTGGCATTCACAAACTCACTATTAATAAGAATCGATCACAGTTTGTTTTGGCAGCCGGGTTAAATAGAAGACGTGCAAAAGGCTGTGTTATCATTCTTGTAAACGCACAGTACATGATAACCAATAATCCTGACATACCCAAATAAATTTTTTCCTAAAACTAACTGACCACCGTCTACATTGTAGTCAGCATCCCGGGGCGCATATTTGGACACGTGGGAAAAAAACAGATTATTGTGGCCGTGTCTGTGCATTTAATCTGGATTGGAGGTACCCCGGGGCCTGAAATTGATGGTTAAACTGCGCAGTTACGGTGTCTTTTTCGTCCTCCGAATGGGATGTGAGCTATTGGCCAAATCTACTTGGTAATATAAACGTAAAATAATCTGTTCGAAATGACTGAAACGACTTGCGCCGAAAGCTCACCATCGGAAAACAAAGTAGTCTTCCCACTGCGTATCCAACTGACGGGACTGCTCGTGTTTCGTCAACTCATCTGAAGGGAATTTCGTTCACCAATGCACATACCACTTGTCTGTGAGTTGAGTCAGTGTCTGCTGCATCTGGTCGTCGAAATCAGTGTAGAATCACTGCGGCAGTTCACATCGTGACTACTCAAGATGATCTTAGAGACGAAAATTTGCCGATTGGACAAAGTCAAGGCTGATCCGTTTAGGATGATGATCAGCATCCACGTTGTCCACATGAAAAAGTAACGGGGAATCGCTTACGTATCACAGAATTATAAAGGGGTGTTCACGAGGGAAGTGGGTTGGAGTCGGAGAGGGAAAGTATGCAGTCTAGGAAGTGGTCAATATTGCTCAGGGTGGAGGGTGATCCCGGTATACATCCATGAAGAGTAGCGCGATTTCTCAAGGACTATTTTACCATTGCTGTTGAGTTAAAGCTGATACCAATATGAGGAACAAAAAGGTGCGAATGTAAGTTTGCAAGTTTACGCATAAAAGTGACTCCGCGCGCGTGCGCGGGTGTGCCAGAATCAAGCGAGCTAATTATGGTTATTCGCACAACTAGTTTACCAGCTGAGATGTTGCAGGATGACCGAATAGTTACAATAATTCAAGTAACGAAAACGCTCATATCGATTAATAATATCAATAATAGTAAAAATAATAATAATGATAATAATAATAAACGTCATGGATTATTAAACTAGCTAGCCTTCTCAATCACTTTCACGATGAATTGAAGACACTGTGCAGCAGAACCTAAAAGCTACTGTGTATTTCAAGTAACGATTGAATCCATACTGTCAGTGAATTCCTCACGTCATCCCTTACAGATGTGACTTTTGGATAAAAAATAAGGAAAATCACGGTTGGTTTGAAGGTTGATTTCCTCGTCTCTCAGCTTTGCACCGGTTCGAGGCTGACAGCCCTCCCCTAGCACACACACACACACACACACACACAGAACTTTGGCGTTAAGGAACTTCGCTGTCACGGATCCTGGTCACCGGGAGGTTTTATTCCTCTTCCTGCTTTTTAGGATGCAAAAGAATGTGAAACAATAAACGTTTCAAAAATGCGTTTTAATGGGGAGAACGTACAGAGGTATATTTTGTACTGACCCTGGTTTGGACCACACCTCACGGGACACGTGACTCTCACGGGATACCCTGTGAAGCGGCTATGTGCTGGTAGAAAATTAGTGATCCGTTATGTTTGGAAAAAATGGGGACATATCGTAAATATTGCTACACTTGCGTTGGGTTGGAGCCACAGTTATCACGCACAAATATGAAACCAATCCTTAGTCAGTTAGTTCCAAAATTATCGTAATTTGGGATTAATTTTTTTAACACAGACCTCAACAACTACTACCAACAGCAGCAGCCGTGCGTGGAGGACGAACAGAACAGAAGCGGTCAACTGAAACGCACCTGTTCATTTGATCGTGCCAGTTCTTTTTGTACTGAATTGGTCGTGGCCTCGAGTTCACGGGACCTTGCGGTAATCTCAGCCAGTTTTCTTTCTGCAGCCAGTGCACTTGCCGCGGCTGCGGCTGCTGCAGCCGCATACGAGGCTGCGGATTTGGCACCGCCGGAAATATCGGAATTGGAGATGGAGTTAGAATCCTCACCCTGACCATCCTTATTGTTATTGTTGCCGTTCGTGTTGTTCAGTGGTGGACCACCGGGTGGTAACGAAGTCAAATGTCCTCCTTCACCGTTGACAAAAACTTCATCTTTGGATTTGTGAGAGGAATCTGGAAAGACATTTTGGTTTTTTTTTTGAAAGACGTATTGACCATGGAATGATAAAGACCTTGAAAGCTATCGAAACGTGCTATATTTATCTATATTACAGAGAGCTGAATACGGTTCATGCATCTGTCGTTGTTCCCACAAAACAACCACCAAAACTCCGATTATTTCTGTCACTCTTTTGCAAAAGCTTACCTTGTTCATGCACAATGTTAATATGCATATTAGCCAATAGACGGCGTTCACAGTTTTGTGTTTTTCCCCTTAAATGTTCACGGGTTTATCACCATGTACTTAAATGATTTTAATTTACATTTCAGTTGCAGATATTTGTGAGTAATGATGTGGGATAAATGATATGGATATGGCCTGATCATCCTTCAGACTTCCGAATCAAGATCAAACCTCCGGTTATACGGTAAACCATACTCTCAAGAAGCACCAGAGTCGGGTTACGCTCCTGGTCGAGCTCATCATCAGTCGTGTATATGCATCCCTCGGTCCGGGATTTGAATCCCGAAACCCTCGAATGAATGGAGTGGGTTACTACCGAGCTTGTCTCTTGCATTCTGCCACTTTGTTCTCAAGGCTCCGTCATTCTTCGCGGTCTTCGAAATCTATCAAAGTNGTGGCAAGCTTCGCAACAAAATCCGACCGGACTCAACCCATCCACCTCACATTAACTGGGTGGAGTTATTCTACACCCGGCTATATATTTTACACTGGCTTGTGAACAGGCATGGTGCCAACGCTACAACAATATTACCAACAACAATAATAGGGGATAGGTGGACTGAGGTACAGAACAAAGTGAAAAGAGGGTGAAACAGTTAAATACGAGAAAATGGAAGATAACTGGGATAACAAAATTCTTTGTGGTGTTTCACCGTACAGTTTTTGATATTTGTTTTTTTGTTATTTTTACGAGGCACAGGATTTCGACAGGCAAACCGTACAGGATTCGCACCACTGACTTTTATTCTGGTTCATATCTCTCTGCGTCTCAAACCAACGACAATCCTCATCCCTTGGGCCCCAACTTGGGAGGTAGGCTGCACCAACCGAAGCCAATGCTGAAGCCAGCCTCTTCATGCCTCTAGCCCATGTCATGGTCTGACCGCCGCGCCGTTTCTTGCAGCCTGGCCCGGCACGTGCAAATAGAGCACGAAAAGGTAGTCGATTGGCAGGTATACGCAATATGTGACCAAGCCATCGGAGGCAATGTAGAGCGATTAATTTTGTTAGAAAACGACTATCCGCACCCAACACACGACGACGAACTTCGTCATTACTCACCCAGTGTTCCCACCAGACACGAGCAATGCTTCGGGGACATCGGTGGTCAAATACAGAAAGTCGATTAGCATCCTCAACGCGGAGGAGCTAGGTCTCGCAGCCGTAAAGCAGAACACTACGGACCGCGTCGATGTACACCCTTCCCTTAAGGGACAGTCGGATGTCCCGGCGGCGCCACATGTGTCGCAGGTTGGCGAAAGCTGTTCTAGCTTTCGCTATTCGTGATAAGATCTCCTCCCCAACACCCTCACCAGCTACCAACGTACTTAAAGCTTTCAACTACTTCCAGCTGATCACTACAGAGGGTGAGTGAAGGCAAAGGCTCCTACCAGTCTCGAACAGGCACTTTGCACTTTGATGGTGCAAAGCACATACCATACTTTGATACCTCTATCGCCAAGTGGTTCAAAACGTTTTGGACTGCCTATGTGTTGTCACCCAGCAACGCGATGTCATCGTCATCAGTTTTCGCAATTGCAAATGGCCAGGATTTGTGACCACCGAGAGGAGTGCCCGCGAGGCCAAAGCGCCGCAAAACCCATCCCTTCTTGTGCTACCGTTTCCACTGAAAATAGAGTTGAGACAACAACAAACAAACAAACAAATGAACTGAACGTGTTTAAAGTCCCATGGGCTCACGTGATTTAACACCTATTCACATATGGTAAAAACAAGTCACACATCTGTCGAGTTGCACTCGACTAGATTTCGAAAGTCCTCGAGCAGTGAGTGAATTGTGTGTCGTATGATATGGGATGTTTCACATGCACTCATACTTTTACTCGCATAGAAATTAGAATGACTAAACCGGATTCGTGCTCTATTCTCCAGACAAACGGAAATCACGTGAACAAAAAGAAAGTGAAACAGAGAGAAATAGGGCTTCACTCATCAAGAAAGCGCAAAACGGGATTTGTATGGAGAGCGGGCACGACATTGAATAAAGTCATCGTTATCACCCGGTCACCTTACAAGATTGTCAAGGGTTTGTATTCAAATAAAGAATTGCAATTTACAGGTTATATATATATATATATATATAAACCTAATTTAAAAAGACAATAGCAAACTTACCATCGGCATTTGTATTATTCGCGTTACTACCTCCGTGTCCAGCTTCATTGTGTTGCTGTTGCTGCTGTTGCACAGCCGCCGCAGCTGCTACTCCGGCCAGTGCGGCTGCCAATTGTTCCCGCAATGCGGCTCGATCGGCTGCGGACGACCGAACTTCCTCTTCCAATTGTGCACCACGTTCCAGCGCGGCTCGCAATCGTTCTCTTACCCGTTCGTCCAGTGCCTTATGATGCTCGAATAAGGATTTCAATGCTTTGAGCACTTCAACTTCCGAGCTCACACCGCCCGGACTATTCACCTGACGTTTGACCACAGTCATGCGGAGTGATCGTTCGTGTCGAGCCACCAGACATTCCAAATGTTCCAGTAGCAACTGTAAAGATGACCGGAGTCGAGTAAGGAAGAATTAGTGCGGGGATTGAAATCCTAGCACGCGGATTCAGTGAGAGCAGCGAAATAGCACAAAAAAACAAAGGAATCACCGTTAGAGGTTCGAAGGATGAACTATCAACGAGAATGAAAAATTCAATCAAAGCATCTTGTTTGACAGATTTAATGTTTGAATTGTGAAAAGATCAGTAGTCTCGTCGGGATTCGAACTCACTAATCCCAATCAGAATGTCGTCGTCTATCAGTAGTTCATCTGATTATGTGATTAGGCACTTTAATCATCATTCTCCACCCATGATTCAGCCCCGTTAGAAGGATACTTTTTCAACCTGCTCATATAGACTCCTCGCGGTCCGAGCTGCATGGCTTCCTCCACCGGAGCAAGTGAATTTAAAAATTTTTGTAAATGATCAATGAGCAGGCCAGAAAAGCAAAACCTCGGGGCTGGTGTCACAGATTTAAGGTGTGTACGGTGACGGAAGACCGTCTTCAGTCCATTTGACAGGCACGTGGTTACCTTGTCTGGCCGCGAACCAACTGAGAACTTCCCGGAAAATCAACCAACTGCGTTCACTAACAATCAAGTCAATGCGTGAATCCCCAGCGGTTTACAGATTCAAACAGTGAATGGAAATCATTTCGGCATGATAGTGCGAAGAAAATCCCAATGCATGAGAGTCCTTTCTTGAGGAAGATGACAATCTGCGTAGGTTTGATCAAGAGACGGGCCAGGGGAGAAACTGAACTGTCTTTGTGTGTGTGGATTTACTTCCGGAGAGTGGTCGAAATTGGGATCACGCTGGTGGATTCTGCTAAGCTTTTATGACTTTGTGACAACAATTAAAAGTAGTCATTCAATCAACCGGTGTATTGATAACAAAGCTACACCGGTTCACAAACCGTCTTGTTGGTTCCTATAAGCCTCATTATGGTCAAGGGTGGATATCCTCGGTTGTTAATGGTCATCCTTTGCGTGTGTGTCGCGAAACACTTCCCGAAGATCAAGCGTATCAAATAACCTCTATTGAGAAAGTCATACTCACTGCTTTCCCATGGCAGGGGTGGTTTCCTAACCAAATGAGAGGACGCAAAGACAACATCCTTGTCTACAACTGTGTCAGTGCACCACTATTGACTGTTCACCTAGGGGATTTGGCTAACAACCTTGATCAAAAATAATATTTAAGAGGCGAACAAACCACACCCTGTTTGTGGGAGTGATCACCGGTTCGATTGGGCATCGAGGCGTATCGGGCACCTTGGACTTTTGATCTCGTCCGACGGGTGTGCGATCCAACGAACTGGACACCGGGGGCCAATTGACTGCGGCTTTCATACACCACCCCGCTGCCTTCCAGGTCAGGCTTTGATTAGTCGAAGGTTTTAGTTTGGCCTGGGGAACCAGGCAGGGTCTCACTCACGGGTAAATCATAAACCTGTTTATTTGTTATAAAGATTGTTGTACTGTGATTTGTTTGACACACCGAGTGGAACCAGACACGCGTGAAATATAATAATAATAGCAATAATATTGGTACGGGTGTCCAAAGAGAGCAGCGTGAACCGAGTGTTTTTTTTCACGATATACGACCCTGAATAAGCAGTTCGGCTTGACTGTTAAAAAATTGGGTGTAAGAAGATTCGATCTAGTGAGGGAATTAACTAACTCCAAATGAGTGATGCCCACAGAATAAGAACAATACACAGACTCTAGTGTTTGTGAAGTCGAATGGTCTGAATCAGTAAATAACCTTGGTAGCGAGGAAACTTCCCTGGAGATCTGCACAATGCACGTTTTAGAGCAAGTGGATAAGTTTTGTTATTTGGGCAGCTACATCTCACCCGGTGGCGGCATCACAGATGAAATTTCAGCTCGCATACAGAAGGCTCGGTTGGCATTTGGTGCCGTCGGGACATCCGGTTATCAGTGAAGGGTCGAGTATATGCTGCAGCAATTCGGCCAGTTCTGCTATACGGCGCTGACACTTGGTCATTGTGGGAGCAGAATAAAGATAGATTGCCGGTGTTCGAACACCGCTGTCTACGCAGCATTGCACGAATCTGGTGGGGAAACCGGACAAGCAATGCTGAGGTTAGGCGTAGAGTTTTAGGTAATCGCGGTCGTCCACTGGAGCAAGTAGTGGACAACCATATATTACGTTGGTTGGGACATGTGCTACGCATGTCACCAGATAGGTTGCGACGGCGAGCGATGTTTGCCGAGGCAGGTAGTGGTTGGAGAAAGGTCAGAGGCGGTGAAACGAAGACCTGGCATG